AACAGAAGGATGAGGAGGCCTGAAGAAATGGTGACTCTCGGTGACTCTTTATTTCTGAGGCTCTCAGAACAGTTCTGCCAAGTCAGCAAGATATCGAGGACCTCAACCACTTTGGAAAAAGGTCACTTTGATTCTCCTTTTCTTGAAAGAATACTCTTACCAGGTAGGAGTCTTAACTTCCTTATGAAACATATTGGGCTCCTGCCATGTGCCAAGGCAAGTAGAGTACTATGGAAGAGAGGCAAAATCGTTGGCTTTATGGAACTTACATTATAGTTAGAGTAGAAGGACAATAACCAAACAACTAAATGCCCTGGAAAACAGAAGGCTGGTGCGGATGCAGAGAGCGCCTGCCTGGGGGCATTGCTGAGCTACTTAAAAAAAGGCAGTAAGGATGGTCTCATAGTAGTGTGATAGTTGAACTGAGACCTGGATATCAAGGAACCACGCTAATGATTATCAGAGGCCAGAGCTTTCCAGGCAGAGGCAACCATGAGTGCAAAGCTCCTAAGCCTGGGCTATGTCAGTTTTCTGTTTGAAACAAGAGGAAAGACTATATGGCCAGAGTGAACAGAAAATTGGTGGGATGTGAGAAACAGAGATTGGAGATACAGGATTTGTAGGGCATTATTAGGGATTTGGATCCTTCCATGCTTCAACAGAAGCTATAAGAGAATTTTAAACAAGGAAGTGAGATGATACTTCCCTTTTCTTTTAATCATTTATTTGCTGTGTTGACCAAAGAAACAGAGCTAGAGTAGAAGAAAGGAGGCCTAAAATATGACAAATACAACATTCTAGGCGAGAGTTGATAGAGATTTGCACTGGAAGAATAGCTGCAGAGGTAGAACTCAGAAGAAATGATAGATTGGCTGTTGAGTATAAGGGTTGGAGAGAACTAGAGAACAACTCTTAGGTATTTGGCTTGACTAACAGTGGGTGTGTTGCAAACAGTAATTGAGATGGGGAAGAATGGGCTGGGCAAGAAACCATTACTTTTGCTTTGAATGTTGTGGATAAATTGCCTTCCGGATTTTCAGGAGTAGATTTCTAGTAGGTATTTGGATATATAAGTCATTGTTCAGCAGAATATGTGTGAGAAATAAAAATTTGCTTGTCATAGGCATGCAGGTAGCATGAGGCTCAGTGGTCTCACCTAAGGAGCATTCAAACTTAGGTAGATTTATTCTGAACTTTTCACCTTAAAACAGATATTATGGAAAGTTCTGTTGATATCGAAAGCCTTCAGACATAACTGATTATAGGAAAACAGTTTATTCAGGAATATGAGTAGAGGTGGTTTCCCAGAGGGAAAATAAATAAATACACCAATTCAAAGCAAACCACTTGACTTATTTACAAAGGGTAAACTGAGAGGTGGAAAGAACACCATTATCAATGGTCATAATGTATCTCTCTAGCTGGATTAAAAAGGTTCCCAGAAACTTTACTATTTCTAGATCTAACTTTTAGGCAAGCACCAGAACTATTCTCCAAGGCCTTGTTTGATGTTTTTAAACTCTTCTCTTTTACGGACTTCCCCTTTGGGCAGAGGCAGACATTTGATTTGTCCTTGTTTTCCTTTCAAAGCTTTCTAAAAACCCAGTTTGAGTTCAGACATGGTCTTCAACAACCAACACATTTCTTAAATATGAGAAAGTTATATGTGGTCAATATAGTTAAAAGTTGAAAGAGGCCGGCCCCAGTAGCTCATGCCTGTAATTCCAGCACTTTTGGAGGCTGAAGCAGGTGGATCGCTTGAGCCCAGGAGTTTGAGACCAGCCTGGGCAACATGGCACAACTCTGCTCTACTAAAAATACGAAAATTAGCTGGGCGTGGAGGCACATGTCTGTAGTCTCAGCTATTCTGGAGGCTGAGGTGGGAGGATCACTTGAGCCCAGGAGGTTGAAGTTCCAGTGAGCCGAGATTGTGTCACTACACTCCAGCCTATGTGACAGAGTAAGACTTTGTCTCAAAAACAAAAAGTTTGGAAGAGATTACTCCAAATATCTCTAGAATCAGCATTATTTGAGTATCTAAGAGTTTATATGGTTGAAATTTAAGATTATTTAAATGACACAAACCAGGTCATTGGTTCAAATGACCTAATTTTCTGTGATTTCTACTCTTACAATGATATGTATATAGAAACATAGATGACAAATATATAATAGATATAGATGATTTAAATATAGATATATTAATAACATGTATAGGATCTCTATGAAATATTACTTATTTAAATTAATATCTCTTTAATGTAGATGTAACATTATGCTTTAAACCTATCTAAAAAGCTATTATGCTATGGATGTGCTAATTTACTTTGAAATACTTCAGCATGAGTTAGTATCTGTATATTAGCTTTGATTCATACTCCTAAGGTGGTTAGAATTTTAAGTCCCCAATCCAGAATCCATACTCTAAAAATTCCACCTAAGAATTTCAAGTATCATTATCAAAATCTACACAGATGTTTCATTAATTCACAAAAGGCATGCTTGAAATAATTATTTGTTGATGAAATAAATTGTGTTCAAAATGTTCAGTTGCTGTATAGATTTTATGAGCCTTACCATAAATGAGACATAAGACTCATCAAGGCTAGAAGTCTAATACCTTTAGGTAAGTACACTAGGCTTAGGTCTAAACTCCCTTTGGTCTACCCTCTATTCAATTTCATGAAAGACTCTGTCCCTGGTGTCACTTAGAAGGCTGGCTGATCTTCTTCATAAAAAACCTCTCTTGGAAGGGGATTTGTGGAAGTTCCTATAGTTTGAGACTGAGAACTTAAAGGTTTAAGTTCAGTCACTGCTTTTGTGCCCTATTTGCAACTAAATGTTGGTATATTTGACAGAATTTGGTCTATTTAATCTCAGAGTTGTTTTAATTTTAGCATACCACATGGTAGCAAGATTATGGAGAAAAGGTTACCATGAATCATCCACCTGTTCTAACTGTAGAATTCTACCAAACTTTGCTCTAAGAATGTGATAATTGCTGAATATCCAAATTGGCCTAGGTTAATTTTTACAGCAGATGCTTAAAACATTTAAAACATCTATTTGGAGATGTAACAGACTAAGTTAAGTGTATTTCTAAAGTATCTTTTTTAACAAAGTTATGGTTATTTATACTCAATATTTCAAAAATAATGTCATTTTCCTTCATTTTCAAGTACAGTTTTGAATTTCACTCATAGATTGGGTTAGTTTACTCCAACTCCATAAAAGTAAAACATGAATGCAAAAAAGCAGGACCTGAACATATAATAATTCATAATTCGTAGATGTATTACACTAAAAATAAAGTTGTCCCTGTGTTAAACTTATAATTATACTTGTAAAAGCAGAATGTTAATCCTCATTACTTCTTTTCTTCAATCATCAAAATACACACACATAGACAAACATCAGCCACATCCTCCCCTACTGCTAGCTAATCCACAGATTGGTGATGGCAATTTTAACAGGACACAGCAGGTCCTCCTGGAGAAATAGCTGCACATTATATGCATTTTAATGAGAAAAATATTTTGTGCTATGGAAAACATATAACTGTTTCATTGCACAAAGTCCAACCCTATGCTTCCTTCCCTCATGCTTTGCAATAGTGTTTGGTTGAAATGTTGAGAGTATATTTTAATTCCAATATTGCATTTATTGACTCATTGACTAAATATTTATTGAGTGCCCCTGAGAGTTAGAATCAATGGATCATTTTCGTAATCATGACTATTGCAATAAATTTGACAATAAATAAATGTAGTAAGTGTAATTATGTAGTAAGTATAATCATGACCTGCTTGAAAATAAAACATTATCCCTGAAGTATTTGTCTTTTATTAGTTTAGTGAAACAGCAATTGTTGACACACTGTTAATAGATTGTGAAAAGAAAAAGTAAATTACTTAAAAAACAGAATAGCCAAGAATCATTAATCTGAAAAGAGACTGAAGAAAAAGAATAGACGGTCTCTTGATAACCTTCCCAACGTGCTATGGCTTTGTGCATTCTTGCTTAACCTAATATTAATAAATACAATGAAATATAACAAAGAAAATCAGAAGATAGACACTATGTAAGACAGAAGTACCTTCTGTTTCACTTTTCTCAGAGTTAGTGCCTTTGAATAAATATGGTGCTGTAATTTCTCGGTGAATGAGATAATGTATATGTTGTTTGTGCATGCACATGCATTCAAGTTTGGGAATAGATGTGGAATGAAACACTGTAAATATATGTGAAATGCAATGCATATATATAATATGTAGTTAATTCGAGGTCTGTTGCTGTTTGGTTCCATGTTATTGTATTTGTAGAAATCATATTGGCTTTTTAAAATTATGTTTAATTGTTTATAACATGATGTTTTGAAGTATTTATACATTGTACAATAGTCAATCTAACTAGTTAACAAATGCATTACCTCACATAGTTCTCATTGTTGTGGTGAGAACACTTAATTACATATGCTTTCAAATATTTTCTAGTATCTATGAATAGTAGAGAGGGTTGATTGTGAATAAAATTATGGAGAATACAATCACTAATCTGGAATTGTTTAGAGATCACCCAGCTATATCTCCTATTTTTTTTTTTTGTATAAAGATTAAATGGTATGTTTAAATTGACAGTTAGTAGCCACACCAGAAAAAAACCAGAATGCTATAGGTTACACTAACAATGGCCTTACAAGTAGATCAGGATTTCTGAATGGCTCCCACTCTCTAGGTGCTCGCTTCTGCCTGTATTTTAGATTCCCGGTATTCTGATATTTGTTCTTTTTTCCTTCTCAAAATATTCCAAATATTTTTTAAGAACCTCAGACCTTATACCTAAGTGGCTGGACAAGTTTAAAGCATTAATCATTCCAGGAGTATTTCTATCTTAACATGAGTCAAAACTTAAAGAAATAAAATTCGAATAAGAACACCAGTCAGAAGAAACCAACCCTGCCAGCACTGTGATCTTGAACTTCTAACCACCATAATTTTGGGGAAATAAATTTCTGTTGTTAAATTTTTAAGAAAGAAAGAAATACTCTAAATGTGGGATTTCATGATTCAGTGAGGACCAGTAGTTGGAGGTAGATGCTTCCCAAAACCCTTGAAATCACAGCACATAGCCAGTCAGTTCCTTTGCTATTTGCAAGTCAGTTCGAGCATGATTTATGTATCTTTCCTGAGCTACTGAATATTTTACCAAAATTAGGTTTACTGATAGGAAATGCAGCTTGGATGAGCAGAAAAGCCTGAGAACATTGCTTTGGTTTTAAGGGAAAGGAGTACAAGAAGAATGAGGTGATTTTCAGGAAACTTAAAATAGCTTCACAAGATGAAAATGTTTGAGACATGGTTGGGCACGGTGCCTCATGCCTATAGTTTCAGCACTTTGGAAGCCAAGGCGGACAAATCACTTGAGCCAGGAGTTCAAGACCAGCCTGGCCAATATGGTGAAACACCATCTCTACAAAAAAAATACAAAAATTATCTGGGCATGGTAGCACATGCCTCTAGTCTCAGCTACTTGGGAGGCTGAGTCAGGAGAATCACTTGAACCCAGGAGGTGGAGGCTCCAGTGAGCTGAGATTGCAACACTGTACTCCACTCCAGCCTGGTGAGAGAGTGAGACTCATTAAAAAAAAAAAAAAAAAAAAGCCAGGCACAATCCCTCATACCTGTAATCCCAACACTTTGGGAGGCCAAGGTGGGTGGATCACCTGAGGTCAGGAGTTCAAGACCAGCCTGATGAATATGGTGAAACCTTGTCTCTACTAAAAATACAAAAAAATTAGCCAGGTGTGGTGGTGCATGCTTGTAATCCCAGCTACTCGGGAGGCTAAGGCAGGAGAATGGATTGAACCCAGGAGGTGGAGGTTGCAGTGAGCGGAGATCGCCTGGGCAACAAGAACAAAACTCTGTCTTAAAAAAAGAAAAACAAACATAATATTTGAGATTGAATGCTTCAACAAATTAATTTTTGATACCTGCCATTAATCTTGACGTATTAATATACCATCATTCAGTACATCTGTAAACAGCATGAATTATAAAACAGGTTCTGACGTAGGATGTTGGATATTGCACTGAGTCAGATAAGAGTTCTTTTGAAACTTGTAATGGGGTTGGGGGAGGTGGAGAAGCAAACAAATAAATAAACAAGTAGTTCAGATGGTGCTCCCTATTATAAAATAAATAGCATAGAGAGACTTAAGAGAGAGTGAATCGGGGCTACCTTGCGCAAGATGGTTAGAAGGCTTCTTTAGAGAGGTGGTATCTGAGCTAAGACCTTATAGCTGTGAAGGCTGAAACCACGATGCAAAGAAAGAGCTTTGGAGTAGAGAGAGATGACCAAAAGTCAAGGTCCCAAGATGAAAATGAGCTTCATATGTGACCAGAAAGGGAAGTAGCAGGAGATGAGATCAGGGAAAGAAGCAAGGGCCAGATGTTGAATGGACTAGCCTTAAGCAGCCATGATAAGGAGTTTGGACTTGATTCCACAAAGTCATTGAGCAGTTTTAAGCAGAAGAATGATTCACACTGTTTACGGTAAAGTAGTGGCTTTCACTGCTGTGTGACAATGAATGAGAGACTGGTGGGGAAGCTTGCAATAAAGAGGGTGACAGAAGACTTATGGACAGAGACAGGGTCAGTTTTGAGGTAAAACCAATAGAAATTGATGGATTAGATGGCAGAGGCAGTAGGAGAGGAAAATCCAAGGATAGTACCAAGGTCGTTGACTTTAAAATGGTAAATATCTAAAATCCCGTTCAATTTTATTAGATACATAAAATGGGTATATATAACTTAAAAAGCTAAGTAAAATAATTTTATAAAGCCAGAAGTGTAGCCATTGCTAAAAAGCCATATCATTCATTATACAAGATGTTTAGGCATTTTGTTTTACCAGAGCTCTATTTACATAGAGGTTTAAATTTAGTTACAGGCAAGATGTGTACTTAAACTATAAAGATTCAAGATGATTTTTAAAAAGGATAATGGCATTAAGCACATATTTCATACTTTGTAATAAGAATCATGAGTGTTTGAGACTTAGGCTTTAAATAAGGGGAATTAAACAGACATTAAAAGGAAATAAACCTACACAAAAACGGGAAAAGGGATGAAATGTTTTCTAAGCAGCAGTAAGTAGATTGCTGTAATTCATGGTAAATCCTAGTGGTGATTTTCCCAAAGAAATTAGATAAATCTATCAAAACATTCAAAAGCAACTTTATTTTTTTAAAGAAGGCACTAAGTATATGGACGTGATAAAATGTTAACACTAATTTGCTTTAGCCACATGAGTTATGAACCTGATAGAAAAATACCAGACAGAGAAAAATTCATCAGGAGGATTACACTTATGAATTTTAATTTAATGACTGAAGATACAATCATTCCATCCAAAGTGACTAACGATCTTTCTTTTTATGATCAGAAAACCTTGCATAATATTATTTTGATCTTAAATATTGATTTTAATCTGAGAAGCTCAAATGCTTAATGGTATGTTTTCTGTTAGATTCCTATTATGGGCTAGATAGTCAACTCCCAATCTCTAAGAATACTTTGAGATTAAAAAAAAATGCTCATGTAGAAAGATGGAAAGTAACTGAAAGGAGTTTTTTTTTCCCCTAGTTTGTTGAAAGCCTAGACAATCACAAGAATCATTTATCTGATATCAAATGCAAACTGTATTGCTCTGGAGGAAAATAGGTTGTTTCTTCCTTTTTTTTTAAATTTATTTTATTGCATTTTAGGTTTTGGGGTACATGTGAAGAACATGCAAGATTGTTGCATAGGTATACACGTGGCAGTGTGATTTGCTGCCTTCCTCCGCATCACCTATATCTGGCATTTCTCCCCATGCTATCTCTCCCCAACTCCCCACCCCCCACTGACCCTCCCCTATTTCCCCCCAACAGACCCAAGTGTGTAGTGCTCCCCTCCCTGTGTCCATGTGTTCTCATTGTTCAACACCCGCCTAGGAGTGAGAACATGCGGTGTTTGATCTTCTGCTCTTCTGTCAGTTTGCTGAGAATGATGGTTTCCAGGTTCATCCATGTCCCGTTTCAATGTGTTGAAAAGAAAATTGCTTTACTTCAAACTATTGCCAGAAAAAAAAAGACAAATTAAATTTTTCCAAAGTTACTGATCACCCAAAACAGAATTATCCTATTTTTTTTTCTCTTTTCCAGTGTACTTTGGAATAAAAGTGAGAGCCTAAACAGAAAAAGCTGGTGAAAAGGAAGTCACCTGTAATAGACACTAGCATAATATAGATTTTTTTGACTCAATGTGTTCAGGGTTCAAAACTGGGAAGTTTGCCCATAGCTTAAGGGGACAACTGCACTGGGTTCACATTTCTAACAGTTGTCATATTGGAGAGTTTTGCTTAGTGACTTGGCATCATGAAATGTTACTTCAGCAATTCCTCATGAGATTTAATAGAAAATAAATTTTAAGATGAATTAAACCTCATGTGAATATATTTTTCAAAGCTAACTCAAAAGATAATTTCTCTTTGCATTCAGGACTGAAAAGAGGCATCTATGTGGATTAAAAATCTGTGTGAATAGAATTTCTTAAAAAACAAACAATGCGTATTTATTTCCTTTATGTTCCAGATTCAATGACTCAAGCATTTGCCTATGTAGTAAGACAAATGATGCATCAATAAAGAGCTAAGATAAACATATCCTAAACTAGTTTATTATAAAATGAAATTATCTAAGTATTCTGTTTTGCTTTGTCATAAATATTGTTAATTATGACAAGTTTATCCATCAAATTTTAAGATCAGCTGATTACCCTAAGTTTATTTAGTGATCTAAACTTTAACACACCAACCATGAAAGTATCAGTGATTTCTGATAAAGATTTTGGCTTGACCATTTAAGAATATTTATGTATGGGTAGATAGGGGTTGATTAACAAATACAAATTTATAACTGTTGTAGGAGTAAGTTCTGTTCTGTAGCACTGTAGGGTAAATATGTTCAAAAATAATTGAATGTATATTTTCAAAAAGCTAGAAGAGAAGATTTTGAATGTTCATAACACAAAGAAATGATAGATATTTAGAGTGATGGATGACACTGACTTGGTCATTACACACGGTATACATGTATCAAAATATCACTCTGAACCCCATCCATATGTACAATTATCACATGTCAACTAAAAATAAAAGGGAGAAAAGAATTGATGTCTATCAAAACCTCAAAAGCTTCCATTACGAATTCAGGGAGATCAGATTAGAGTGGAGTTAATGTTGTTTCATGATCTTGGTGAATATTGCTTTACTTTGTGCATGCTGTATTTGTTTTCTTAGCATATATCACCTTCTAACATACTATGATTTATTTTTATTATACGTACTGTTTGTGGTCTGTGTTTCCTTACTAGAATATCATATCTACAAGAATGAGAATCTAGGCCTCTTTTGTTCACTGACATAGCACAAGTCCCTGGAAGAGTGCCCACTACATAGTAGTCACTCAATAAATCTTTGTGGAATCAATGAATGTTCTTTATTTCTGAATAAATGCAGAGTCTATTGCTTCACTGAATAATTTATATATGCATATACACATACACAATTTAAATCATGGTTTCTTCCAATGCATTTATTATCTGTCAGTAATCAATCAGTGCATGGCAACAGACAATAATATATCATAGGGGAGCAAATACTTGGCAAGCATTAAATATCTGTTTTAAATGGGGGTATCATCAAAAATTGAAATCAGTTCTTTGACAATAGTGTCTTCTGGGAAAATAAATCTTCTAAACAGAGTTTATAGTGGCCAATGTGACCCTTTATAGCTTGTATTATGAAACGTAAGGATACTGTTTTTGTTAGACAATTCTAGCAAAATGTAGTAACAGAATTACATGTGGTAACTAAGATTAAGTTATACTGACAAACATAATAAAGACTTTAAGCATATGGAATAAAACCCGATTTTCTTATCTCAGCTCAAAATGTCAAAAACACCTATGCAAGGTCTTAATGGTAAAGAAACGGATGCATTCTTCACTTCCATCTGTCTAGTACTCTCAATATCCTCTGTAACACTAAAGTTGTCTTCAGGTTTTGTGCAGCTCATAATTTCTGTTTACTTTTTTCCTAATGGGTTACTTCTTAACTAAATAATGACTACTTACAAGGACGCTTTTCAGAGGACTGGCTTCCTCTATTAGGTATTCAAAAAATAACACATTACTAATATGGAACTAGCAAAGCCTTCCAAATTAGTCTTCTTGGCAACAAAAGTTCCTATGTTGTTGCAAAAATTCTATGGTGTTGGATGTAATTTAGATTGTTAGGAAAAGTTAACTGTACTTTTAAATTATACAGAATTCAGAATATAGGCATTATGCCAGGTGTCTTGCTTTGCTTTGTTTGCCCTTCTAGTTTTACTCTCATTTGCTCTGAGTACTGAATGATTGGCAACCTCCATGCCCCAGCCCACCCACCATCCATTTCCCATCACCTCTCATTCACCCTGTCTCTCCAGGTTCTGGTTGGGTTTGGTCAATGAGAATGTTCTCCAGCTACAAGAAGAAAGGCTCCTCTCTTCCAGGTTTCTGTGGGTTTGCCGAGTTCCTCTACTGAAGACCTCATCTCCTGTGAGAAGGCTTTTCCTTACAAACACCCTACTTCATTTTCCTTGCTACTTGTTTTCTTAGTAATGACCCCTCATTGGTACTTGCCTGGGAGTACATCACTATCACCAATGTTCTCCTTATATACTTTCTGGACCTTTGTAAACAGTCTCTCTCTTCACCTGATTTGAGAGTGCCATCTCCTTCCCGCTAAACCTCTAAATGATATATACATGGACTTTCCCAGACTGATATCCTGACTTATACATCCAGACCTTACCACCTCTGTAAATGACAAGAAGCTCAGGCAAGACCCATGGATCACCTTGATTTGTCTATTTCACTAATTCCTCTACATCTTATTTGTTAGTGAGCTCTTCCACATCTACCTCCAAAATGTATTTTGAAACTGTCCACTTCTTTTTAGCCCTACTGCCACCTCCAGGAGTCGATACCCTAATTCGCTGTCTGGCATACTGCAATAACTCCCTAACTTGTCTCCCTGCTTTCTTTTTATTAGTCTTTACAAGCTTATTTGCTACTTCTTCTTACTCTCTCTCTCCCTCCCTCAATCCACACATTAAACAAAAGAGATCTTTTTAAAGCACAAATAAATAATGCAACTCTCTAACTTAAAACTCCATAATGGCTTTCCATTTCGTTTTGGTTAAAATGCAAACACCATACGGTAGCCTTCAAGATCCAACAGAAACAGCCCTCTGCAGGCTTTCCACACTCATCATACAAATCTAAAGCAAAGTGAGTTCTCTGCCACCCTCTGTACTTGGCATTCACTCTTTCTCCTTCCTGGTACACCCGTCCCCAGGGTTTCCCTAAAAACAAATCTGTACTATCTTTCCTGTCAGGATGCTTTTATTTCCTTTATACTGATCTGTGTTCATCATGTTTATTTGACATTTGCTTATTGCATGTCTCAGCCCACTGAATTAAGTGTACATTTGATAAGGCCACGTACTTCATCTGTATCCTCAGTGCCTAGAACAGTCTGGCTCATCATTTGTACTCTGGTAACTATTTGGCTGTTGATGGTATGAAAGAATGCCTTTCCATTCATTCCTGTTTCTATTTTCACAAGGGACTTCTAGTCCTAACTTTCCAGTGTTCCCACACTGTGGCCTCCCCCGCCCCCTTTAGAAAGAAAAACATTTCTGGGCGGGGTGTGGTGGCTCATGCCTGTAATCCCAGCACTTTGGGAGGCCGAGGCAGATGGATCACGAGATCAGGAGTTCAAGGCCAGCCTAGCCAACATGGTGAAAACCCGTATCTACTAAAAATACAAAAAAAAAATTAGCCGGGCAAGGTGGCAGGTGTCTGTAATTCCAGCTACTTGGGAGGCTGAGGCAGGAGAATAACTTGAACCCAGGAGGCAGAGGTTGCGGTGAGCTGAGATGGCACTGTGCTCTAGCCTGGGCAACAGAGTAAGGCTCTGTATTAAAATAAAAAAAAAGTCTTTGAAGGCTGAATGCTTAGATTGTCTCACAACAATTAAAAAGTAAACTTCTCCATGCTCAGACTTGGGACTCTATAACATTTCTTCTAAGATACAAGGTACAGTATAAAATATTCCCCTTATCTCAGAAGATTCCCCCATGAGCAGACAATGACTGATCTGTTGTCTATCACCACAGCATAGTCTTCATATTAATGTCTATCTACTCTTTTATGTCTGGCTTTTCTATTCAACAGAATGGTTTGAAATTCATCCATGGTCTTATGTATATCTGTAGTTTGTTGCTTTTTATTGCTAAACTGTGTTCCATCGTATGTTTGGACCACTATCCATTCACCTATTGATGAAATTTTATTTGTTTCCAGCTGGGGAGTATTATGAATAGGGCTGCTATAAATATTCATGAATACGTCTTTTGTGTTGATATACATTTTTATTTATCTGGGATACATACTTGGATTACAATGTTGGTTATGGGTAAATAGACATATAAAGCATCGATAAAGCATACATCTATTTGCCCAAGACCTACGCTTTTAAAAACTATCAAACTTTATAAAAAACTGTCAAGAATTTTCTAATGTGATTATGCTAATTTTCATTTCTAACAGCAATGTTTATGTGCTCCACTTGCTCCATATCCTTACCACACTTGGTATGATCAGTCTTTCAGATGTTAGCCTTTCTACATGTGTGTCATAGAGTCTCATTGTGGTTTTAATTTACATTTCTCTGATAATGAATGGTGCTGAGCATCTTTTCATGCGTTTATTATCTATGTTTATATCCTCATTTGGAAAGTATCTCCATTCATAATGAAAATAATTTCGTTGGAAGTTTGCTATAATTATTTGCAAAATGGTTGAACTCTCAAGTAGCAGCATGTTTATTAACAAATTTCAGCTTCCATAAACTGATTTCTTCATTGAGTTGAAATCTAGCAGCATTTATAGTATTATGTTTTTTTTTTTTTTTTGAGACGGAGTTTCGCTCTTGTTACCCAGGCTGGAGTGCAACGGCGCGATCTCGGCTCACTGCAACCTCCATCTCCTGGGTTCAGGCAATTCTCCTGCCTCAGCCTCCTGAGTAGCTGGGATTACAGGCACGTGCCACCATGCCCAGCTAATTTTTTGTATTTTTAGTAAAGACGGGGTTTCACCATGTTGACCAGGATGGTCTCGATCTCTTGACCTCGTGATCCACCCAGTATTATGTATTTTAATGTAGGAACTTATTATCCTGTGTATAGACATGTTTTTCTATTTTGTGAAAAGGGGCAATGACAGTCTGACTAGTGCAACGTATCAATGGCTTAGTATTGGACTAATTTTATTCTTTTAACTTAAAATTATAGTCAAGATTAGAACATCTTATTCTCCCTAAGATGCATGTAATCTGAAATTGGCACAGCAAGAGTTTGCCACAAATGCAAGAGGAGATAGAGATGGTTCATTTGCTTTTAAAATGGATACGATGAATATAGCACATGTAGGGAAGAATTAACTAACTGGAACAAAATGTTTTTCTCAGCCATTCCTCTCAGCTGGAAACCTCACTATCGCTTTTTTTTTTTTTAAGATAATAGGAAAATCCATAAACTGAAAAGGCCTCTATTTTTAATTATTTAAATCTTATTTTAATTCTGAATTTGAGAAAATAGAGCAGCCATTCGTGATATTACATATCCACATACAGTCTTCAAAAGTACGATCTTATTTTTTGCTAATCATAGAATAAAAAGGCCCCCAAATTAGTATGCTTACAACATACAAAATGCTGTTTCATTTCAAATATGAGACATATACCTGTGTATGAGTAGCCAAGACAAGTTCAGAATGAATCATACTATGCTCAATATCCTGCATTAGAAACTTACCTAATGGGAGGTATAGTGGGGTACAAAAGACAGGAATAAGCCCAAGGTATGTTTGTATTTTAGTGATGGGATATCTAGTAGGATTAAACACATAGGGTACTTATTCACATCAAAGTGGAATTACAAAGAAACTGGAATCATAAACCAGGAAGGCAAACAGTAACCATGTGATAAAT